CATAAATTTGTACTATATCAAAGATTAAGCTAATAAAAACCAACTGGCATTGTCGCCAAAGTTCAAAAAAAAAAAAATAAATAAATAAATAAAATAGACTATTAATAATGTAATAAATAAGATAAAAAAATTATCATAATAAATATGATAAATAAAATAGACGTTTAACAAAAACTTATAATAATTTATATTGATGCAAAAATATAAAAGAATATATACTCCTGAACAAAAAGCTGCAATAAATGATGCTCAAAGAAAGAAATTTGCTTCTATGAGTTAAGTTATCGAAATAATGAGTTAACAAAAAGGCAAGATCAGAGCAAATGTCAAAATAATATTGTTAAAAAAGAAAATATAAATTCATGTAATATTTGTTTATATTAGTGCATAAAACAGAATTATGTAGTAGAATGCAATCAAGATAAATTAATACACAAAAGGTTTTCAAATGAAAATACATAATATGGATCCTGTAAAATAATAATAATGTAAATTTAAAATTTTTATTTATAGGAGAAATTCTTAGCAAACTTCCTCAATCCAGTCAAGTTGAAGAAATGCTTATTATGCAAACTCTTAAAGTTATTCAAATGATTCAAAAGATTTGACACAAATGCACTTTTTGGTCTTTCTGGTATTTCTGCACTTTCTGGTATTTTTTGTTCTTTCTGGTTTCTGCTCTTTTTCTGACATTTCTGACATTTTTTGCCCTTTCTGAATTTATATTGATTATTGTCAAAATCATGTTTAGAATAATGATATCATATAATCTAAATGTATATAAATACCTTTATTCAATAAGTCCCTGACATAGACCTGAACCGTGTAGGGTTGGATAGAGGACAAATTCATGAAATTTTATGTTCCATTAAAATTAAGAATCAGCTTCAGAAAGTTTTTAATTGATGCCTTTGGTATGAAATTTAATATCTCCAAAAGTACAAATTATTCAACAAATTTGTCGCAAGCATAGCTCGAAAAAGCGATGCTAGAAAGCCTCATTAAATATTGTGATTATAATGAATTTACTAATATAGAGAAAATCGGTGAAGGAAGGTTTGGAAACGTTTATAAAGCCAAGTGGAATCGTGGAATCACGGTTGCTCTCAAAGTTCCAAAAGATATTAAAAATTCTGAAATTACTCAAGAAGTATTATTAATGTTTCTGTTGTGCATAATCAATTTATTCTAACACTAATTGTAATTAAATTATTATTTTTTTTCGTTTATAATTGTATAGTTTAAAGTTTTGCAAAAAACTACCATTCATTCATATATTATTAAATTTTATGCTATAACAAATAGTGAGTTATTTTTATATAATCTGTTATATAATATTTTACACTTTAAACCTAACCAATAATTTAATAATTAGATCCATCAAATGGAAATTGCATTATAGTTATGCAATTTGCTAAAGATGGAAATTTATGACATTACTTAAAAGACAATTTTTTAAAACTACAATAAACCGATAAATTATGTATTGCTAAGGAAATAGTATTGGGTCTCGTTTTCTTACATAATAATAATATTGTTCATAGTGATCTGGTAAGCATATATAATCAGTATAATATAAACTGCCCATTTTTAATATACTTAATTAAATAACTTTTAAATATATAGTATACAGAAAATGTTTTTGTTCATATGGGAAAAATAATGATTGCTGATTTTGATCGTTCTATATTTACAAATTCATGTTTAGTCTCGATTAAGCATGATGTTTATGGAATTACTGCATTTACAGACCTACAGGCTTTAAAGTGTCTTTCAGACAAATTTATATTTACTAAAAAATCCGACGTCTATAGCTTAGGTGTTATTCTCTGGGAGATTTCAAGTGATTATATACCATTTAAAGACTTACCAAATCTGGATATAATTCTTCATATACTACAGTGTGAGAGAGAAAATCCTATAAAAAACATGTCATTAGAATATATAGAACTTTATAAGTATTGTTGAAATGAAATCCCAGAAAATCGACCAGAAGCAAATACCATTCTTGATGTTTTAGAATAATGTATTTCTAAGGAACTATGTATATGTATATATATGTATAGTTAAATTTAACATTATACTGTAGACTTATTACTTATTATCATTATTGTACGACAAATATTATACGTATAAGATTTATTTTCTCTTTATCAAATTATGACACTTTTTTTTCTAAGTCTACGATACTTTAAGAGACTTCTTATACTGTAAAATTCTCATTTCTAAGCAAATTTGTTTGTCAAATTTTATGCTAATAATTGTTCTTTATAAATCTATGCTAATAGTTTAAGTGGCTTTTATCTTTTTTTTTAATTAAGACTACAATTAGTTTTACATTATCGATTTTTAAATTTTTCTTTTTTTGAATTAAAATAAAGCTAAGATTTTTCTAAACTTTAAAGTCCCTCTTACCAATTATAGTTTAGATATGACAGGAATTTTAATGTATAATCAAATAAAATAAAAGCAGTGATAGAGCCAGTATTTTTCAAATTCTTATAATTTCTATCCGTTCTTTGATCTGAATAATCTTGTGTAATCTAATTCTTTGACCTAGATAATCTTGTATAATCCTTTGGTCTGAATAATCCTTCAAATTGAATAATTTAGTACTAGCAAATAAAAAAAACTATTTTTAAATATTTAGAAAAGAAAACAAATTTCATAATTAACAGTATTATAATAAATACTTAAATACCTGTTTAATATTTGAATTTCTCTTTGATCGCATAAAAGTATTCAGGTCAAAAGTTTATTCAGGTTGAAGAATTATAAAACATCGGTTAACTGCATCACCATCAGGATGTTCAGCAACAGAGATAGGAGTTGAGTTCATTTTGTAAAGTTTGGAAGTTTTTAGATTATGCTTTTAAAAGTCTGGAATTTATAATTTTTATTTCTTCTTTCTTGAAAGGGAATTGGATTTCTTTTTAATTTTTAATAGGTTGCAAGTAGATGATATTTATAACAATTTACAACCTGCGGACTGCAGATAACATCTACTGGATTCACTCAAAGAAAATGCCTTTATAAATTACTTGGATTAAATAAGAAGAAAAGTGCAATAGGTCACTGTTGTGATTTAATTTTATGTGATCAATATGATTATGTACATTTGGTTGGTGAAGTGAGTGGACCACCCTCAAAAAAACTTCCAAATAAAGAAAGATTTGATCTTGGTAGAAACAATCGCAATGCCAAAAATGAAAAAAGCTTATGCAAACTGGCTATAATTGCAGAGTTTGGACCAATTTTAGAGGAATTAGATTTAGATATTCTGTTAAATGAATTATATGTATTCATGATCCAAGTAAAAAGTAAGCATTGTTTTGCTAAGTTTATTTATTTATTTATAATAATAATCATTAATATTTATGCAGAGAAGACAATGAAAACATCTGTTCTTGATCATATTGTTACAGGGTTGCAGCCTTCTTGGTACAATACAACCAAGTAACAAGGTCACCCGGTATAGTAATTGACTATTGCAAATATATACGGGGTGGAGGTGTAGTAGTTCACTTTACTACACAGCAGTAGGCAAACAGTTCAAGATAATAACAGTATATAGATTAAC